TTAGGGTCCTTACTAAATAAGTAGTGGGCAGCCTTAAAAGGTTTCCGGCAGGGGAGTGACATAATCAGATCTGTATTTGAATAAGACCATGCTTTCTGACTGCTGTGAATTTCCTGATAAAATGATTTAGAAATAGTCTAAGTAAATTGTATCTTTCTAAAAGTCTTTAATACACGGGAAGGACAAGCCACATACTCAATTCTTTTGCCTTTTATAGAAACAGATACTTTGTTGGATGACCTTGCTACTTAAAAGGGGGTCCCGGGACCAACAGCAGCAGGAGCAGCACACCTGGGAGCTTGTTAGCAATGCAGAATCTCAGGCCCACCTATTGAGTCAGAATCTTTCATTTTAACCAGCTCCCCCAGGTGGTCTGTTTGTACATACTTGAAAGTCAAGAATACCAAGCTTAATCTATAATATGCCTCTAACAACTCAAAAGATCAGGAAAATATTAACTATAACATAAGAAAATTTGAATTTATTCATTTTACGTCAATCACCGCTTGGTAGGGATGGCAGCCCTTTTAGCAAGAATTTTCTGCTGCTCTGTTTCTTGATAATTTTTAGGCACTTTGTTATAAGGTTGAAAGTACAAAATGTACCATCAAAATGATCCATTATAGAGGCTCCTGATAGCTCCCATGAATTGTGCCACCTACGATTTGGTAAACGTTCTGTGGCTCTACCTGGATGCTGCATGGTGTGGTGGGTGGAAGAAGTCTCTGGAAGCCAGTGGTCTGGTTCGCATCTTTCTTTGCCACTTAAGAGCTATGTGACTTAGATAACTGACTTAAGTTCTATGTGTCTCAGTTTCCTCATCTGTAAAATGGAAATGGCCACTGTACCTACTACACAGAATTGTTGTGAGGATTCAGTGAGTGAACACATTTAAAGCACTTTAGAAACAATGTCTGGAACATGTTAAATATTATGTATTTGCTAGTTTGTTGTTCTTATTATATTACAACTGCAAATTACAAGAAGCCAAGAAGTTTTCACTGGAAATCATTCTTGGGGCAATGGGCAAAGGAAAGAATGTTAGTCACACTTCATTCAAATGTCACTAACAGGAAAAGGCCACCTGCTAACAATTGGGAAATTTGCCAAATATCTGTTCCTTTGATGCCACATGTAAGAAACTGCTTAAGCCATGTGGCCTCAGTGAGGCAATTACCAAAACAATTGCCCTCGGTTTTTAAAGTCAGTAATCCACAATAGTGTCTTACAATTTTAAAGTCTTCTATAAACATTTGTAGTAAAGAGATTTTCTCTTTAAATTTAAGGGGGCCCAATTTAAAAATGAAACCAACATTTACCTTCTCATGCCAACTGAACTGTAGCTAACAAATGTTATAAACCACCTACCACGTGAAATCAGTTTATTTTTATCAAGTTTTAGCAGTGTAAGTGTTCCCTCAAAATACTGCATTTACACATAGAATTATTATCTATGGCAAAAACATGATTCTACTTCCCAGGAGCTGCAGCCTATGAAGCATATATTATAAATTAAAATTTCATAATTCATTTATTTAATTTGGCAATTTTCTGCACCTCATATTACAAGGTAGTTTTTCCATAAATGTTCTGCTGACTCTTTTAAAGTAAATAGAAATCCTGATAAATCACTTTCATAGAGCCAACCCAAATGCTACAGATATCACCTTAACTAAAAGATAAACCGCATGTTTTCATCTTTATTGTATGGTTGTCTATCAAAAAATTTTTGTACCTAACAGAATTTAATAACTGTTTAGTGAATAAAGAGAACCTTGTTTTAAAATATGTATAATAAAAATCTGCTGAAATCTCTATTCTTATTCATGAACCAATTTAACACTAAGTTAAATTTTATCACTTAGCCTGAAAAGACACTATTTATGAAGAAAAAATCTCCCATAAAAAAAGAAAGCTGATAATTAGGTTGCTTGAAGCACCGAATTCAGCATATTTTATTCTAAAATTTTGCTTTCCTAAAAATATGATTAAACTTCTAAATTACCAAATGGTGTTCTGAAATACCCTGAGATTTCTAAACAAATGAAAGAAAATTTCTGCAAAAATATCACAAACTCATTTTTATTACATAATAATTTCCATCGTTGTCTGGTTAACAAGGTTCCATGAGTATATTGTTTCTAACTTAAAGTGACAAGGCTTCCACTAGAACTTAATAAGTCAGTCAATCAATTGATTAGTAAATTCTGTCACTTCATCCTTTTAGTATTTAAAGTAGCTAATGAATTCAATACAAGACAATACCAGAGTGGCTATGTAACCCTAATCAAACAATAGCATTTGTAAAAATAGCATTTGTAAAAAATGATGGGTATTTGAGCAGACTGGGTAAATGCACATGTGTACCCTATAAGAACCAAACTGAAGGTGGCATTATATGGTACCTTTGATAACTGAAGTCTCTCATACACACCAGGAGGTGGATCTAATACTTTTGATAAGTAAATGTGAGATTTATTTATAAGAAAACATGGTTAAATATTCTTCACTGCAATCATTTTTTCTGTACTTAGTGACTATATCAGTGTAGTGAAAAGGTTTAATCTCAATTGATTTTCCAGGTTGTTCTATATAACTCTATCAATAGGAGACCATTTTTCTTCTGGGACCACACCCACAAGTCTCAACAAATCTATTAGAGTAACTCTCCAGCTGTGTCAGAGACTATCCATGTCATGTAGCCACCTTGTTTTATATTTTATGTCCTAACTAATCACTGACTGGCCAATTACTGGACTTTCCCTATAAAAGCACTGTTCTAGTTCGAGGAAGAATATAAAAATCTCTGATCAGCCCTGACTTCCTAGCTGGAAAGACCAGTTAAATACACATGTATCAGAGTGTCTTGGTTGATCCAACCTGAGAGCAGACAGATTGCAGTTCTTCCTGATACTCCTAGCCCACTCCAGGATTTAATATGTGTAAGTATTTGTATAGGAAGAAAACAGGGGGCAGAAAACTCTGGCCGGTTCAAAATCCAGGTCTATCCATCATTTATCTATCAGCTTCTGTATCTCTGGGCAAGTAACATTATCTTAATCTCTAATACCATTATTTTTAACAATAGTATATACGTTATAAGGTTACTAGAGGCCCAGTGCACGGATTCTTGCACAGGTGGGGGGCCGGCTGGCCTGCCCTGATTGGGGCCAATCAGGCTGGGCAGGCCAGGGGGAAGGGAGGGGACGGGGAGAGGATGCAGGAGGTTGGCAGGCCGTCCCCGCCCCCTGGTCGAACTCCAGTGGAACTCCTGGTCGAGGGGACAATTGGCATATTACCCTTTTATTATATAAGAATGATAAGAACCAAATTAGACGACAAATATAAAATGCTTAGCACAGTGCTTGACACCTAAACAAGTCAACAATAAACGTTGGCTACTTGAGGAAGCACCTGTCTTTCCTTTAGGGGAGTGGAGTTACAGCCTGAAGCTGAAGAGATGGCTTCCAAGTGAGCCTGGGAGGTGTAAGCCCCAAACAGTATTATTTGGGGTTCTAAGGGAATAAGGTGACATTCAGGTCATTTCCAAACTTGTGTGTGAAAAATAGTGAAGCATGAGATGCTGTGGTGATACTGACACCGCAAATTTTAAGGATTTGAGAGCACCAGGGGAGAAGCAATATCCTCACATGGGATCAGCAATGAGACACCTCCCCCAAGTGGCTTTTGGGAAGCAAACATCAAGATGGGTGGGAAAGAAAAACATCGGAAACTGGTCCTGAGCAGATCTGAGAAACCAAAAAATTCCCAGAAATGACTGGAGTGATTTGGACAGGGGAATGATATAGACATCATTTCTGTACCAACAAGCTGGAAGGGCCTGGTGACATTTGCCTCATTCATATACAAGTACAGTAACAATATAAGACAGAATGTGCTAAGAGCAAATAAGAAGCGAAGGTAATGGATACTGTGAACTGCAAGGAAGAGATCAGTGTGAACTGGAACATCAGCTGGTCCTTGCAGACTGGTGGAAACCAAGTCGTCATGGTGAGTCAATTAGGAAACATGGATGAGCCAAGTTATACAGGGAACATGTGCCTGGGTCTTTGGGACAATGGCTGAAGTGTGTGTGTGTGTGTGTGTGTGTGTGTGTGTGTGAGAGAGAGAGAGAGAGAGAAAGAGAAAGAGAGAGAGAGAGAGAGAAGAGAGAGCAAGAAAATAGTGGGAAACAAGGTTAGAAAACTAGGGTTGGATCATATCTGAATGACTGAAGGACATGGATTTGGTCCTAGTGATGGGGAAATAGAGAAAAAAACCAATTTTGATTTGGGAAACTAGTGATTGAAAGATCAATCTGGCTCATGTGGTATAGAAGGAGAAATGTGTAGGGTTATGTGAAAATGGTTAGAAAAGTATTCACAGGTATAGCAGGAGAGCAGTAAGATATAATGTTAGATTGGCATAATATTACTAATCATTTTCTAAAATAGCACTTACAGAGGGAAAAAATCTAATTAAGAGAAATATGGTCTTCGGTTACTCCTCAATATCCATTCATAATTTTCTCATGATTATGTCTCCATGCCCCAATGGATATGGCTTAAGCCACAGCTTGCTTGTTTGTAAGTTACATAAGCACTCTTCAAGCACTGAAATTTCTAGTGTGATTCTAATGTAATCTCTCTCTCTCTCTCTCTCTTTCTTTCTCTCAGGTCTATTGAGACTTCTATAATTTACTTAGGCATTTTAAACACCAGATATTGATACATTTATATACTTCTATATATAATGTTAGTTATGACAGAATAGTATTATATAAAAATACTGTTTTCTCTCATTTAGAGTCCCTGAAAAAAAAATATTTCCAGGGTTTTATAAAGCAATTCAATATTTTGCCTGCTGCTAACCCCACTGACTGTTGATACAGTGCAATTGGTTTACATCCCTCTGCCAACATTCAAGTATGAAAAACATTTTCATTCAACTCAAACAATGACTGGTTTTTTGAGGACATTTTCATAATTACAAATACTCACTTGAGCTCTTCAGCAAGATTTTCAGCAAAAAACCATCCTGATGCAGTAGAGTTTCCAGAAGCAGGTTCCAATTACAACCTGGCTGGGCTAACAGCAGTTTCAATTGACCCTCAGTTGTCAGTTGTCCAGCTGATGGAGTCCTTTCAAATGCAAGATAAAGATGGAGTAATGAAGTTAATTTATCTATGAAATTAATAGCCTTAAAGTACAGATGTAATGCTAACTCCCTTAAATGTCAATTCCTCCAAGATTACTCGGAAAATGCTTTCATGCTTGCTTACTTTAGGGTTGCTCAGGGAAGGAATACATTTAATCTCAACTAGCTAAAAGCAAATTAACATTTGGTAGCCTGCCAAGTTTAAAACTGATACAAAATCACCATGCCTATATTTCACAGAACTATGTCTGTTTTAGTTTCATGGAGCAAATAAAAATAATTTATGCATTTATTTACAATGCATTTATTTGTTCATATACCAATTATATGAGTGCCTACTAGGTGCTATTAACTCCTTTTATTATTCATGGCAAGAAGTTTCAATGGGTTTTGACTGCTTTGTAATTTGTCCTGTACTACGATTACTGATAAAATTAAAGGAATTCAAAGTTTCTGTTAAGGGTCAACCATAATCTAATTATTTAATATGTAAAGACTTAAATCAGCATGCAATTCTCAGAACCACTCTAACAATCACACTGCTACCAACTTGGGTAATTGTTTCATCAAAGAGAAATAATTCCAAGGCAAATAAGCTTCTATTTGGGAAATGATCATCAGTGTTGGACAGAAAATCAAAGTCAGGTCTACCATATCACCACGTTCATTTATTAATGGATCTGCAGGAGATAAGGAAGTAAAGTAGAAACTGAAAACTGATAACATAATTCATGTTTTCCTTCTAAAATCTTAAAGTTTAGATTGGCTAAAGGTCACAACATCTAAAATCAGCTTACAACCACAACAACAAAAAGGCAGGAAATGATCAAACTCAGTTTGGTTGCAGCCATAAGGACTATGGGAATAAGGTGGCATTGGGAAGAAAAGGTATGATTGGGCAATGTGAGCGTGTGAGTGAAAGGACCTAACTTCACAGTGGGGGAAAAAAGCAGAACAAAGGGTATTGCTAAGAGAAACAATTTATGGGATCATCTCAACAAGAAATTTACGGAGTGGTGAATGAATGGTGAACCATCCAGTTATCAACATAGTCTAAACCATTGGTTTTCGTGCCTGGGCACTGGACCAGCAGTGTGAGCATTACCTGTGAAATTGTAAAAATGAAAATTCCCAGGCCTCATCCCATCTGAATTCTGGAGATGGGTTCCAGAAATGTGTGCTTTAACCAACCCTCGGCAGGAGATTCTGATGTATGCTAAAACTTGAGAACCACTGTGGTAAGAGGTGCTTTCTGGTGCAAGTTTGTAAGGACAGGCCCAGCTGGCATCATCTTTCCTGACTCTGAGCTTTTGTGCCCATTCGGGTCCACTGTGGCTGCCAGCTCTGCAATAGTCCTTTACTTAACTCTACCCATCCTTCAATCTACAGCAAAAATGTTGCTTTCTCTGTAAAGTCTTCACTAAACATTTCTCTCCACAGTGGTCTATCTCACTGTGAATTAAAGCACTTATGACAAATATACACATTTTAGGACTTTTTTATTTAATCAATTAAAAATTTTATCTATACAAGATTCAAGTGTTGTGAGGACACAAGAATTTGTTTTATACCTCCAAATCTACTAGTGAACCTAGCTGATTGAAAAGTAGGCTCATAAATAGCAAAGCAACTTTTTTTTTGATGCTTTGCCAAAAGGCTGGTTTAAGCGAAAGTGAGAGGATCCAAAGATAAAAATGAAGAAGTTTCAAAGCACCTACTCTTTGGCTTGGCTTGGCATTTGGATCATTACACAACCTTATGATGCGCAAAATCCTTCAGGCTGCATCTGAACTTTGGGCCAACTCAGACTTCCCATGGGAGACTCGGATAAACACAACTGGAAATAGGGAAACTCCTTGGGCAATCAGTGGGGCAATGTTAGCTATGGAAACTCCTGCTCCGGGTGGGTGGGGAAGAGAGAAGCAGGGAGTTATTTACTTAAACTCTGATGCAGAGGAACCAACTCCACCAGTTACGGTGTTCTGAATTACCTGGGTGTTCCCAAATTGGTCTGCCTCTTGCAGTAGTTCAAATATGGTAAAAATAAAATATTATAAAGATTCTCAAAGGGAAGAATCCACTAGGAGAGCCCTTCAGATGGAAACACTGAAGCAGATCCTTACAATTGTTGTCCCTATTTCTCCCCTAAATCCCAAGTGCTAACTTCTGGAAACTTGCTTGGGGTTCAGTAGATGAAAAGCAACTAGTTGGTTGTAAGTGATATATTAAAATGGACTTAGTTTTTGAACATTTCCTACACATTTTATTTGAGTTGAGTGCTGACTTAAGAATACATTTAATGAATTGGAAAATCTAGTTTGATAAAGTCTAGAAAGGGGGAAGGGGTCTTTGAGAGACAATCTGAAGAAAGATTGGAGCCAGATCATAGAGGGCCTCCTTTGTGGGGATTTGGGACCCACTGAAGAGTTTAAGGCAGATGAGTTTCCTGATCTGACTGCAGTATGGAGAATAGATTAGAGGGGTTAGTGTTTATGCTCAACCCTTTAAACATGTAATAAAGCAAAATAATTTGAGTGTAATTTCATTCCACTGTATTTAAATACCTGGTTATAAATAAAACCTCTCATTTGGCAGATGGGAAGCTGTTTGTTGAAATGTACCTTAATTTTGGGATCTTTCAACTTATCACATATTTTGAAATGTACAGTAAAATGACTCACTATGAGAAAAAATAAAATATTACAAAGATTCCTCAGTCTCCAAGCTCTGAGTAATAAATGCATTGAGGAGTCTGTGTTGGGCATATGGAGGAGCATATGTTCCCTCATCCTTTGAGCTGGTGGAGCTGTGAAAGTGAGATTAGCCTCACAAAAAAAATGACAGAAAGAGGAATTTTATATATATTTATATATGTATCAAATGTGTACATGCTGAATTTTACTATAATACAAAGAAGAGAACCAAAATGTATAAATGCATTGGAATGTATAAATCTTGTATTGGGAGACAGGATGAATTTATGGCTGGGTTATATTAGACTTATACTCTAATAAGTACAAAATTTCTAGGGAATGAATTGACCTAAAGAATTTTTCAAATCCAGTAGTAAGCAGTGATACAATAATGAGATTCAATCATTATTGGTTTATGAAACTAACAAATTACTTTTATAGAAGCATCAAGCAAAATCTTAGCTGTCTACAGGTGTGTTTACTTCACTTGTAATTTCTGCAATTTAAAAATATGTACTCATACTGCAATAGAAAGTTTTTAAAAATCTTAGTTCCATTAGTGCACACTAGCCGAGTTCCCACTACAAGATGAGAAGCCTTACTGCTCAGATCACATGACCATGGGATTCATTCATATGTATATGTATGTGTATGTGTGTGTATATATATATATATATATGTGTGTGTGTGTGTGTGTGTGTGTGTGTGTATATATATATATAATCAATCACGTAGAAGCTGCCAAACTAGTAGAACAGTGGAATGCACTCTGAAATTACAGCTTGGGGATGGCATTAGGTCACTCTGCTTCTGGATTTGATATTTACTTTGAACCATAAGCCGTTATGTGATCCTACGTCCCCAATAGATAAACTACCAGGGAACCAACAGGTGAAAGTAGAAGGGGCAACTCTCACCAGTGCTCCTGCTGATCCACTTGGGGAATGTGTGCAAGCCCTGCAGGCATTGCAGGAGTGGAGGTCCTGGTTCTGTGGTGGTCCTCTATCAGGGGAACATTAACAATTCCACTAAACTTAAGTTATAGTTGCCATCTAGGCATCGTTGGCTTCCCATGCCAGCAGTCTATGGGGCAAAGAAAGGAGTTACTAAACTGGCAAGGGTGATTAACCTTAATTATCATGAGAAGCTAGATCAACCCTAATTATCATGGCAAGCTATCATAAGGTGATTAGGAAGGAGTATGCCTGTCGTTCAAGGGATTCTCCTTTTTGCTTTCATGACTGGTAAGCACCATAAATAGGTGACTGAAGTAACCATATTTGGATAGGTAAGGTCTCAGTGACTCCACTGGGCAACAACACAAATTAGCCGATGGTAAAGGGAAGTTGAACTAAGAGGTAGAGGAATGTAATAATGAATATCACCTGCAAATCCTGAAATTACTGCAGCAGGGGATACTCTAGCTTGTCCCACGAACTCTACCGTAATAATTTTTTAGAAGACATTTTGACCAGCCATCACTGAGAAGAATCAATGACAGGACTGAGTGAACTCAACATGGGGAATGGGTGGATTTCCATGGTGCAAGGGGGAGACCAAAGCAGAGGTCCATTTCCCCACATTCTCTTGCCTTTACTGCTACAGACACTGGCCTGACTTCTGACTGTAAGAACCTGTATTTCTCTACCTCCCAGGAAAACAGGCTGGAAGTGCCAGCAAATTAACACCCTAGGGCAGCTCTCAATCAAAAATGTATGAAATTGCTGTGTAAGCATCTCAGTATCCTTGCTCCTTTGGTGGGATGACTCTGAGATGTGAATTTCCCACTGGTTTCAAGGATTTCCCCAGAAGGTTTAAGTTCTGGTTACTCCTTGATAGTTGGCTTGATTATACTAATCTTTCTTTCCTCTCTTCCTTTGTCTCATTGACTCACTCCCCTTCCAGTGTTTTCTCCACTTAGAAGATAAATTACTGTCTCTTAAATCCGTGTGTCAGGGTCCATTTCTTGGGGAAATCCACATGAGTGGAGACACTTAGTATTCATCTTACTTAATCCTTGTTTCAGGATTTTTGAGAAACGAGTTCAAGTTCATTTAGCTAATAAATGTGGCTGCTGGACTTTGAATCCAGGTCTTTCTGACTTTAAAACCTATGCTCATTCTTCTACTCCAGGTTTCTGTCCATTCAACCTGGTTGTTATTTGATGGGTCAGTTGTATTTTCCAGCATTGAGGATGTTGGCTCTATTTCATCTTCTGATTGAAGATACCATGTTTTTGACCCAAAATCAAGTTTGTGGTCTCAAGGCTTATTCCCAAATTGGAGACATA